AGGTTAAAATTCTTATATTTAATATCTGTTCCTAATATTTCTCCTATTGTGCGCAGACCCTTCGTCTATGTTTCTCATACTCCGTTCAACTCAATCCGATTACCTCCTGAGACAGGCACCAAAATCCGATTAAGCTAGGGAGTTTTTTGAAATGCACCAATTGAGTACTACTGTTCGATCGGATTGGAAATCCGACCATTTGTCATAAACACGCAGTGGCAGCGAATTGACATTAAATTTTAGTCGGTGGAAACGACTGAAATAGATTAAAAGTAAATATCGCCAACCTTTCCATTATTCGTTAAAAGGTTAAAAGTATAAGCCGTTCAAAAATGGATAATAAGTGTGATATTTGGTCATACAATGAAACTTTAACATTAATTCACTTTAATTCTACTTCCAATGGAAACAGTACACCAAGTTTGATCTATACCGTAGTGGAACCGAATTGAGGGTTTCGGTGGAAACTAGTGGCGAATTCGACAAACTGCACTAGTGCGCACCAGTGCGAACTTTTTTGGTGCCACGCAATCGGAATGTGCGCACCGTATCAGTGCGCTTAAATTATCGTATTCGGCAAATGAAAACTGACCTAGTGTAGTGCTGAATTTGTATTCGGACCAACCGAAAGAACCGAACGAGTGCAAGAAATATTGCACTGACATTTTTGTCAGTGCAGTTTGGTGTTCGGACAAATAAAACTAGTTAGGCAGCAAAAAATTACAAAATGGATAAAGAAAGAATATTATTTATTATAGATAAATTATTAGAAACAAGTAGTAGTGGTAGTGATAATGAAGGGCAGCACCGTGTCAGGGCAGTATCGTGTCAGAGCAGCACCGTATCAGGACAGTACCGTGTCAGGGCAGCGTTAGAACACATTTGTGATGTTAGGGCGGGTTGCTTTCCAATTGTAATCTCATTAGACACTTTCGTGTACACGCACCGGCAGAAATGCTGTCCCTCGGTGTTCGGCGCGCGGCGCTACACACTCGTACCGAGCGCACACGTACGTGTTACAGAATGTAATGATTCACTGTGTCATCTACGTCTCTTTCTGGAAAGCACCCGAATATCACTTACTAGGACAAAGAGGATAAAAAATCTTCGCCAATTCCATCCAAGCTAAATATTTCTGTTCTTGGTTTTTATACATTTTACAACTTTTAACGTATAAACCAGGATTTCTTTTTACTAAATCTATTAATTCCTGCGATGTCGCGGAATCCCAATTGTGTACCATTTTCTCTTGAAAACGAGAACACTAAACCTATTAATCTAAATTAAACAAATTTTTTTTTGTTTGCTATGAAATATAGTTTAAATGAAATTAAAAATAAAAATACAACAGTAAGAGAAGAGCACTAACCACTAACGGTCGAGATTTGAAGCTTATGCCTAATAATATTTCCAATACATTTTTTATTTTGATAGATTGTAAATTTCAAATAAAATTTTTACTTCTATAAATTGTGTGTTAATTAATGTCGGATTTCTAAACAATATTGAACTGAAGCTAGAATAGTATTATAATTCTAAGATTCAACTGTTGGCGATTCAACTCAGCTGTTGGCATTTTTTTCTTATTGTTGTGTTATTACATCAAAGTGTAATTGATATTATTATTTTAAAAAATAATATTTCCAGATATGTAATTTTCTTAATTATTGCTTATGCAAGCACAAAAATGTATACCACAAAAGACTACAGGATAATATATATACTAAATATTAATAAATATATATTTGCTTTACAACTTTCAGTTTAAGACACTTCTGATTAAATAAAGATACAGATTATAAACTCATTGAACAATATGAACAATTGTCTTACCACCATTAAATAATCATGGAGGAATTGAAAAAAGATTGCCAGAAGAAAACAATCTTGTGGTTCGCTGGTAATAAGGAATCATTGCAATGTGTTGCTACGCTTTTTGGAACCCCTGTCTCAGAATAACTTTTTATCAATGTGAGAGAGTCATGAATTATCTGATTGAAATTGTGGAAAAAGTCATTAAATTTCTAGATGATTTGGAGGAAGAAGCAAAATGATTTGAAGAGATTGCAGGATTTCCAGATGTTATAGGCTGTGTGTGTGTGTGTGTGTGTGTGTGTGTGTGTGTGTGTGCGTGCGCGCGCGCGTGCGTGCGTGCGTGTGTGTGTGTGTGTGTGTGTGTCGATATATAAACATAAGAACACCAGCTCACAAGATTGCATCAACTTGCCAATTGACACGACAAAACATCTATAATATTGTAAGCAATACGTAATTAAAAGAGAAAATTTATCGATGTGTTCATTGGAATTCCAGGAAAAGTTCATGATGCCAGAGTACTTAAATTGAGCGATATCAAACAGAAGCTGCCGAAAATATGTGGAAAAAATATCATATTTTAGACGATTCCACTTATTCAATACGTGAATGATTACTTGTTTCATTTAAAAACTACGAAAATGTAGAAGAAATGGAAAAAAGATACAATAAAAACATTGCTTAGTCAAACTTACTTATGTATTGAAAATACCTTTGGTCTATTAAAAACACGGTTTTGACAGTTGTCATTGCAGATTGATATGCATACAGTCGAATTTAAGATATCAATTTTAAAATCATTTAACGTATCCATTTCTGCTTTATCGCTTGATGCCACATCAGGATTGTATTCAGATTGTGTGTTATTGTTAACTGAACAGTTTGACCTATATTAAAAGTATACAAATATAATATATTTTCATATATGCATATTATTTGTATTATATAATATTTTACTTACAAAGTGTTATCTCTTTCATTGGAATAATCATTTTCTTGACTTTGAGCATTAATCCTTTCCGTCCTGATAAAGCAAGTGGTACTACTATTATGTTTCTTTTTCCTAATAATTCTCTTAACTCACTACAATGTAGAAGATATTTGTATTATTAAAGTAATTTTAAACCTTATCTGCTTTTAATTTTAACAGTAATTTGTTTTGTATAATTACATAATTGTATCATATAACATAATTTATTTATTACTTACGTTTTATATTCGCAAGTTCTTGCTCTACCAGTTTTTTTTATTATTTATTACTGACCATATTTTTATATAATCATATTAATGATTTAATTTATTTTTTACTTATAAAGGAGTTACTGAATAGCCATTACAAAGCATGTCTTTCGCTATGTTCTTTCATAAATGTTTGTAAATTTTAATTTTCCTTGTATTTACTAGATCTTTTTTATGTTTGTATATATTTAGAAATAATTTTGTTGTCGCATCATTGCAAAGAAAAGAAACTGATGTACTTTCATTTTGGTCATTCTCTTTATTGTCCATCAAATGTCTCTCCGAGTGATTTAAATAAATCAATAATGATTTCTGTATTGTTAATAGCAAAACTTTGAGTATTATAGGAAAAATTAATTCCATCAACTTTTGGTTGAAAAATGTTTTCATCTAAATAAAAAAAAAAATATATTAAGTAAAAAATATTTTTATAAATTTATAATTGTAAAATATATTGTTGTAAGCCTGTGTTCTTTATTGTTCATCAGCCGTATATAATTACCTTCAATTATACATTGTATGGAATCAATAATTATATTTCTATCCATGTTATCTCGGTTCAAAAATCTGTATATTTTCATAGTTAATTTTTTTTTGTGTACTATTTTTCCTATAAATTAAAAACAAAAAAATTATTAGTAATAAAGTATTAAAATAATTAGTATATTGTAATAATTAATCAAATTATTAAAATATTAAAAATTCTCTCTAACCTATATTTATCTCGTCGGTGTCGCACGTGATTATCAATTCTCTGATGACGTCTAATTACTTCGTAGCAAGGAGTCTCGTTTTCACATTCGTTCTCTCGCAATTTCTGATCTATGTTGTATTCACAAGATACTCAAAGTAGAACAATTTGTGCTACTTTATACGATTTTTCACTCTTTTGACTATTTATATGAACCTTACTCCTTTATGCTTCCTCAAGATCAAGGGCAAAAAGTGTTGCCCAAAGTGTAACGGACTGGTAACGGTGGTTATGACATCATGTCCGGCAACAGAAACGAATTAGTGTAGTACACTTTGTGCAAAAGTATAAAAAGTTAATGCAACGCGAACAAACCTATTTACAGTTTACACAAGTTGTTCCTGGGGGTCAATCACGTAACTTTTTCTCTAGGGCGGAAACGTGAAAAGTGAAAACTTTTATGAATGTATGCATGAACATATACACACATACATGCAAAAAATTTTCACTTTTCACGTTTCCGCCCTAGGGGAAAAAGTACGTCCGGCATTTTTAACACAATAATCTATTTTATCTTTAAAGCCCATTCTACATTGGTCGTATCGTAATATCGTAAGCGTCGTGAAACTTCTAATTGACACATCGGATTGGTTGTTGCAACAAATTTATGACCTGCGACGCCTACGATACGACCAATGTAGAATGGGCTTAACGTTGACAGGCAACAGAATAATGATTCAGGGTGCGATTACATGGAGCGCGGTACGCGGTTCTCTAGCTGCCTAGTTATGGCACATTCGATACATATGCACTGACACGGTTCTAGCGCTGCCCTGACACGGTGCTGCCCTGACACGGTACTGTCCTGACACGGTGCTGCTCTGACACGATGCTGCCCTGACACGGTGCTGCCCTGATAGGGTGCTGCCCTGACACGGTGCGAGTGCAAAACTACACTAATTAATAATTTAATTAATAATTTAATTTTTAATTAATAATAAT